GCATTTTGTCTAATTCTCTGCCTTCTTCTCTGTGTTAGAAATGCTAGTTATGTGTCCTGCTCTTGAAAATAATGGCTTTTTGAAGAACAGATCATCATGTAGTGTTCAGGACCTGGTGCTTCAGGGAGTGTCTCTGGTATGTGCTTAGTGTCCTCTGCTGTTGTGTTTTGGCTGCGCTATCCTTCAGGGCAGTCATTTGCAATGGCTCTCCTTGCCTGCAGGGGGCAGTGTTTGGTCCTTGGCCTGAGTATGGCTAGTTTTAACTAGGTGTGTTCTGGCCTCCTGGTTAAATGAAACCTGATACTACTTCTGTGAGAATTGAGGCCTTGCAGAACTCTCTGACTGGGAGACATGGTGTGGGCAAGGGTTTGTGTTGGTCTTCTGGGGTAGTGGCCTTCCACACTGGGACTTGGGCAAAATTGACTGAAGATGGCTATTCTGCCAGAGCACAGGGGTGTGGGTCTTGGTATAAGCAAATTAGGCAGCCAGTGAGCTCCTTCTAGCAGGTGGCTCCCTGCTTATGCTGAGGATCAGGGGAGGAAAATGTTGCCAGCCATCTCCTTTATGTCCTGAGAGGTCTCTCCATGAATGCTGCCTCTCAGAGAAGAGCCAATAATCTCCTTCCTGTGTGCCCCAGATGTTCTTCAGAGAGTTCTTTTCATGCTGTTTGCCTCTGTTTTTTGTTTGTTTGTTTGTTTCCTTTTGTCTGTCTTCTCCCCAGGAACAGTACAGTGCTCTTCTTCCTCTATCCCATCCAAGTCTACTGACTTTTTAAACTGCAGGCTTTAGATATGTGGTGTGGGCAAGGGTTTCTGCTGGTCTTCTGGGGAAGGGATCTGCTGCACTGGGACTAAGGCAAGTTTGAAAGCACAGGGGTATGTGATTTGATGTAAGCAAGTTAGGCAGCCACAGTCAGTGCTGTGCTGATTTTGGTAGGTGGCTCTATGTTTATGCTGAGAGTCAGAACAGGGAAATGATGCCTGCCAGCTCCTTTGTTCCTGGAGGGGTGTCTCAGTGAATGCTGCCTCTTGGGAACCTCTAAGAAGAACAAATAATCTCCCCACTGTGTGCCCCAAGTGTTCGTCAAATCACTGTTTCCAAACCTTCTGCCCTAGGTTTTTTGCCTGCCTTCTGTCCAGGAGTAGGGTAGTGCTCTCTGGGCTCTATCCTAACCAAGACCGGTGACCTTTAAAACTTCAGGATTTATGTCCCAGTGGTTACAAGAATTTGCCAAATTCAGCCCCTTTTGTTTTCCAAGCCAATGGCTTTGGGGAAAATTTCTCCCTCTGCATTCCCATGTGTGTTCCACTCTCTCTCTCACCCTTCTCTGCAACCACTGCTCCCTCCTCTGCAGGGTACCTGCAGTATGGTTTTTCTCTAAACCATGCCTCTACAGTTCCCACCTTCTTTGATGTGGCTTCTTCTCTCCCTAGTTGTGGAGTTTGTTTTGTCAGTCTTCAGGTCAATGTCTGGGTATTTAGGGAGATTTGAAAATTATCTAGTGTACATAGGACAAAGAGAGCCGATAGTCCTCCTACTCTGCTGCCATCTTCCTTCTCTTTTCTTCACAGTCTTTTAAAAAAAATTTTATTTAAATTTAACTTAATTTAATTAACATATAGTATATTATTAATTTCAGAGGTAGAACTCAGTGATTCATCAGTTGCATATAACACCTGGTGCTCATTGCATCAAGTGCCCTACTTAATGCCCATCACCTAGTTACCACATTCCCTCCACCCACTTCCCTTCCAGAAGCCCTCAGTTTGTTTTCTATAGTTAAGAGTCTCTTATGGTTTGTATCCCTCTGTTTTCATCTTATTTTCCTTCCCTTCTTCTATGTTCATTTGTTGTATTTCTCAAATTCCACAGATGAGTTTAATCATATGGTATCTGTCTTTCTCTGACTGACTTATTTTGCTAAGCATAATACCATCCAGTTCCATCCACATTGTTGCAAAGGGCAGGATTTCATTCTTTTTGGTGGCTGAGTAATATTCCATTGTACGTATCTACCACATCTACTTTGCCATTCATCTGTGTATAGATTTCTGAACTCTTTTCATATTTTGGCTATTGTAGACATTGCTGCTATGAACATTGGAGTGCATGTGTCCCTTGGAATTACTATGTTTATATCCTTTGGGTAAATATCTAGTAGTGCAATTGCTGGGTTGTAGGGTAGCTCTATTTTCAACTTTTTGAGGAACCTCCGTACTCTTTTCCAGAGTGGCTGTACCAGCTTGCATTGTCACCAACAGTATAAGAGGGTTCCCCTTTTGCTGCATCCTCACAAACATCTGTTGTTTCTTGAGTTGTTAATTTTAGCCATTCTGACTGGTGCTAAGTGGTATCTCATTGTGGTTTTGATTCATATTTTTTCATGTGTCTGTTGGCCATTTGTATGTCTTCTTTGGTGACCTGTCTGTACCTGTCTTCTGCCCATTTCTTGACTGGATTTTTAGGGGGGTGGTTTGTGTGTCAAGTCTGATAAGTTCTTTATAGATTTTGGATAGTAGCCCTATATCTGATAAGATATTTGCAAGTATCTTCTGTCATTTTTTAGGTTGCCTTTAGTTTTGTTGACTGTTTTCTTTGCTGTACAGAAGCTTTTTATCTTGATGAAGTCCCAATAATTCATTTTTGCTTTTGTTTCCCTTTCCTTTGAAGACATGTCTAGCAAAAATTTGTTGCATCCAAGGTTAATGTGGTTGTTCTCCTCTAGGATTTTGATGGATTTCTGTCTCACATTTAGGTCTTGCATCCATTTTGAGTTTATTTTTGTTTATGTTATAAGGAAGTGGTCGAGTTTCATTCTTCTGCATGTGGTTGTTGAATTTTCCCAAAACCTTTTGTTGAAGAGACCTAGACAGTCTTTCTAATCATCATATCTAATAGCTGTATCAATCTAAATGCACCAAAATATATTTATATGTAGCATTAGCTTTTATGAAAAAGAGTTTTAAGAAAAATAGTTGACACAACACTCTAGAGTCCCCCCATCTTATGGGTAGTTACATTTCTCCTTATAGATAGTTAATATTCCCTTGCTACAACATATATAATCTAACAGAAAGAAAATGATGTTCTTGATAATGGCAACAAATAGTATATTTAGGGAATTAGGAAACTGCTTTGACATCTCTATCAGTTCTTTCTGTAACAGAACTCACTTTTTTCCTTCTTTTTCTTTCTGTTATATTCCCTAGTGGTGTATAGCTCTAGCATCCTTGTTATACCTTGGGGATGTGATGCTAATTTATTATTTCCCTGAGACCTTTCAAATAGGAGCAGTGAGCAGAACTATTAGGTATTTCCTGAACTGGCTTCTCAGGGGATGAATGAGCTGTCCAAGCTGGTTTCTTATGTCTTCCAGTATGGTTACTTACCAATACCTACTATTTATGCAGAAATGACATGCTGATGTGACATTGTTACCATTTTTTTCCAGCTGTGCTCACAGGCCTATCTTAGGGAGGAACACTGGGAAAGGGATGAGGAAATCTGTGCCCCTTCACCTAAGGTCAAAATGGAAAAGTTCCTGCCAGATGATATGCTCACTGCTTTCCTTTCTCCACTATGGCTAATACACTTCCAAAGGTGATAGGGTGAGAGAAAGAGAGATGGGGGGGGGGAGGATACAGAAGCAAGCAAACTCTGGGAGTTGCATTCTGGCAGGTAGTTTATTTTTCTGTCCCTTAGTCAAGGGATGATTACTAGGGAGGCAGAATTTCGGGAATTACTTCAGTGAAAGAAGTAGCACTTAGGGTATTCTGGAAATAGAGGATATATTTCTCCTGGTCAGAGATTAAATATGAATAAATACAGGACATCTTGAGCATGTCAACCAAAGAGAACACCAGCCATTAGTTAAACATCAACACAGGCACAGACTATTAATTTGCAAGTTGTTGAAAGCCACTTAGTATTTAATGGCTGAATTGAAAGGTGGGAAGTGATCATGGAAGTGAGATTTTGCTTGGTGTTGGTAAAGGGCATTGAAGTCAGGAATGAGAATTTTCCTGGAGTATGCCTAGATGATGGTTACATTGGAAGCTGTATGAAGAGGAGACGAAGTGGAGGTGTAGACAGTTGTTAGTTACTATAATGTTCCTCATTTGGGCCCCGATTACAAAAATCACATTTAACTTTTAGATGAAAGTAAATGACCATAATTTAGTCTCACCAAGAATATTTTCATGCACTAATAATATCTAATGAATACAGTGGCCATTAGCAGTCTACACCAGTTGGTTCAGAATGGAAGGTTTTTTTTTTATTCTTTCTTTCTTTTTTTACCCTGACTTACAGTGTGCCCCGAGTCTGGTTGTATTATCTTAGTACTCTCTTATCAGATCAAAAATCTCTTTTATTGAATTTACCCTTTTATCAATGGCTAGCTGTATTAATTCATATGTTTATTCATGAATGTGCCCTGAGTACTCACTCTGTTAATCACCATGCCCAGGCACTTGTGGACTTACTGGCCAAGCTCATCCAAATGATCTTTGCTGGTCAGCTATCTCTAAGGAATGGTTTGTATTTGTTAATTCAAAGTTTTCATGACTCAGCTTCTGTTTCCAAATTTTTGTCAATGTTAATATAATTTAGATTGGTCCTATAAGAAATGGGAAATTTTGAGATGTTAATGGATCTAGCTAAATCTAATAACTCCTTAAATGAGTAAAAATATTTGTGTTTGATCAGCTTCTGAGAAAGGGCCCTATGACTTTTCGGGTCCTTGTCATAGAGAATGGTGGGGAAAGCTCTATACTCTGGATTCTGCACTCTGAAGAACTTTGCTTGTGATCAAGCTTTCCTAATAATTCACTGGTAGAGGGACTTCCTTCTTTCAACCTCAATTTCCTCATGTGAAAAATGGAAATGATTATTCTGTGTCAATTTCATAAAGTAGGAATTGAACCGTCTTAGTGCTTAATAATTGGAAAAGTTCCTGGAGTCAGGAACATCCTCATCCTGGACTTCTCCTTTGTTTGCAGGGCTACTTGAAGCAATGCCGGAAGAGAAGGGACATGTTCAGTGATGAGCAACTGAAAGTAATCTTTGGGAACATTGAAGACATCTACAGGTTTCAGATGGGCTTCGTGAGAGACCTGGAGAAACAGTACAACAATGATGACCCCCACCTCAGTGAGATAGGACCCTGCTTCCTGGAGCACGTAAGCATCTTCCCCTTGGAAAGGGTTTTGAGAGGAGACAGGAAGAAATGAAAGGAGTGTCTGAACTGTATGGTCATGCTCAGCTTCTTTTTCCTGTGGTGGGGGATAGACTCCTACAACCCTGATGTAACCTTCTTGCCAGGGTGTGAGGACTTAGGAAGGGTACTGTTATTTGGTCTAGGACTTTTTCTTAACCATTCCCTTCCCTTTTTCCTCTCCTTCAAGAAACCTACCAGTAGAATTTTCTTCACTTTCTTTTTTCTGTACCTGTTGGGATCAGTTTCTATGGAACTTATTGTTTTGGAAACTACATGGAAAATCCAGGGATCTGAGAAGTATGAAAGTAGCATGAAAGTAGACACCTTTAAGGCATTTAGAGGAGATCAATAAGGTAGAGGAAGTAATAAATGTAGGAAAAGGGGTCATGTGACTTAGAGGAAGGAGGACTAGGAAACAAGAGAGCAAGGATTTGAGTCCTGTGTCTGTAATGACTGTCTAGTTAATTTTGGGTAAGTCCCTTACCTTCTTTGGGTTTCCTCATCTGGAATATAAGAAGCATTCATTGTACACTTCTGTGCTTCTCTAATTTTTTTGGGGGGGTTTCATTCACAGGGAACTTAGTTGTTCTTCCAACTCTTCTCCTTTGCATAAAATATTCATTTTTAAAGAGGTATTATGTGCACACGATACAAAATTCAAATGACACAGAAAAGTGTGCAACTAGGAGTAAATCTTTTTACAAATTCCCCATATGTTTGTTGGGGGACTATTCCAGAAGACTGCTCTTATGTTCAGTGATTTCTTAGAAAGATTCACAGGAATCAGTATATAGTCATACTTGTGGTTATGATTTATTATAGCTAAAGAATGCAAAGAAAAATCAGCAGAAATAAAAGGCACATGGCACAAAGTCTGGAGAAATCTAGGGACAAGCTTCCAAGATACCTCTCCCAGTGGAGTGACATAAGATACACTCAATTCCCCTTGCAATGAGTTGTTACAACACATGTGAAATGTTTTCTATCAGGGAACTCATTATGGAATCAGTACCCAAGATTTTTGTGGGGGACTGGTCATGTGAGCATGCTCTGCCTAGAATGTACCAAAGTTCCAGATTCTCAGATGAGAAGCAGGTGTTCAGCATAAGGCACATTGTGTATATAAACTGTGAAAGCATAGTGAGTCACTCATGTCAGGGAATGATGAGACCCCTCTTGAGATCCACGTTCCAAGATACCAGCCAAGAGCCAATCTTCCAAGGAGGTCTTTCTAAGAATCATAGTCTCAGGCCTGATTAGTTAACTTTTTCTGCACAGTATTTAAAATGGTTCAGTCATGTCAGAAAGCTCCAGGGCAGTATTTATATGTATATGACATAGTGTTGACATAGTATATGACAAAATATGTATGACATAGTGTTTCCATATATATCCCAGGGAAATTCTTACAGAGGCTCATGAGGGAGCATTTGCAAGGCTGTTAATTGTATGGTGGTGTTGTGTGTGGTTGAGTGCGATTAGAAGCAATTTTAGGTATTTACTACCAGAAGATGAATAAAAAGCGTATAGGGAATGCTTGCTGTGGAGTATTATGTTGCAAAGAACAATAGACTAGATGTATGTAGTTAAGTAAATAACAGACTAGATGTATGTAACTTATAGCAATATATATAGATATCATAATCACAGTGTTGATTGGGAAATAGAATATAGAATAGTAGTTCTTTGTTGGAGCCTGCCCTGTGCATTGTGGTGTGTTTAACAGCATTCTTGTTCTCTACCCACTGAATGCCAGTAGTACCCCAGCACCACTGAGTTGTAACAATGAAATTGTCTCCAGATATTGTCAAATGTCCCCTGGAGGACAAAAAGAACCACTGATCTGTTGAAATGAACACAGTGCTTCTACCTTTTAATCTATTAAAGCAGTGAATTTGGATTGAATGATTTTTATATGTTAAATTATTGTATTGCTAGAATGAAGCCTACCTGATCATGGTATATTATCATTTCTTTTATATGTTAGTTTGCCTTTTTAAAAAAATATTAGATTGTTTACCTTCTTATTCACTTCTACAAAGTCATTTTTATCAGCTTTGTTTAGATGTCATTTACATACAGTAAGATTCACCAATTTTAGTGTATAATTTGATGAATTTTAACAAATATATATAGTTGTATAACTACCATATAATCAAGATACAGAACATTTCTACCACTTCATTAAGTTTTCTTATTCTCCCTTTGTAGCCATTCCCTGTTCCCACTCCTGGCTAAACAGTGATCCGCATTCAGTCACCATAATTTTACTTTTTCTACAGTGTCATATAAATGGAATGATATAGTAGTAGTCTTTGTGTTTAGCATCTTTTACATACCAGAATGCCTTTGATGTCATTCTGTTGTTGCATGTACCAGTAGTTGGTTCTTTTTTATTAATAACATTTTATTAATATTTTATTAATATTAATTTATTAATAACATTTATTAATAACATTGTCTGTTCTTTTTTATTAATAACATTTTATTAATATTTTATTAATATTAATTTATTAATAACATTTATTAATAACATT